ACCTCTGCCCTGTGAGCTGCTGGCCCCTAAGAGTCCCCTTCCTGAGCTCCCAGGCTGCCCCTGGTCCTTCTTGACCTGAGACCCAAACAGACTTAATTTCCCCCCAAATGCAACAAATCCCCTCCTAGTTGAGCAAGAGAGTGAACGGGGAGACTCACCTGAGGAGACGATGACATGGACTCCCTGGCCCCAGAAGTCAAAGTGGTTGTCACATTGTGACAATTTTGCCAGGGATTCAGACAAGAACTTGCACCTGGCTAAATCCTTGGGATGCCTCAGATGCAGCCCAGGGAGGGGGCTCACGGAGACCCATTGGGTGTAGAACCTCTGCCCTGTGAGCTGCCGGCCCCTAAGAGGCCCCTTCCTGAGCTCCCAGGCTGCCCCTAGTCCTTCTTGGCCTAAAGACCCAAAAAGACTTATTTTCCCCCCATAATGCAGCAAATCCTCTCAGAGTTGAGCAGGAGAGGGAGGGGGTAGACTTACCTGAGGAGACAGTGACCTGGGTCCCCCGGCCCCAGACATCAAACCAGTTGTCACATTGTGACAATTTTTCCAAGGACTGGGGCAAGAAGTGGCACCTGGCTGAGTCTTTGATACAGCCCAGGGAGGGGGCCTAACAGAGACCCTTGGGGCCTAGAACCTCTGCCCTGTGTCCCGTCAGCTGCTAGTCCCTTAGAGGCCCCTTCCTGAGCCCCCAGGCTGCCCTTGGTCCTTCTTGACTTGAGACCCAAACAGAGTTATTTTCCCCCCAAATGCAGCAAACCCGCTCAGAGTTGAGCAAGAGACTCAACTAAGGAGACAGTGACCTGGATCCCCCGGCCCCAGTAGTGAAAGTCATCACACTGCTGGGGGTCCCATTTGGGGGGGTGTAAAAAAACCCGTGCCCTGCTGTGGGCCTGGCCTGCCATGGCCACACATTCTGCTCCTGAGGTGCCTGTGTCCCCAGACATGAGCATGACTCTGCCCACTCATCCTGCAGTGGAGTCCCCATCCCCTCAGAAAGGCCATCATTAGAACCTGTACCCTGCCCTGCCTGGACCCGAAGACCAAGGACCCTCTGGACACTTCTTTTCCAGCTCTAGGACAGAGGAGGCTGGGCCTGGCCAGGGAGGCAGGAAGAAAGCCATCTTACCTGAGGTGACAGTGACCAGGGTACCTGCACCCCAGATACCAAAAGTATCACGGGGACTCAGCCCCCATTCCTGCCCAGACATAAACCCACATATGTGTAGGCTCCGCCAGCCAGGTCCCAAGTCCCTGCCCCCAGCACAGGCCCCAGGGCTAGAGATGGTGGGTGAGATTACCCAGGCTATGGTGACTGGAGTGTGCGGCCCTGGTTTGAGGTGCTCACAGCCACACCAATACATCCACCTGGCCCAGCTTTGCCCACAACTTCTCCTTCTGTAGGCCCTTTCCCTGAGGCTTCTGCCCTGCCCTCAGCTGTTCTCCTCCCAGGGCAGGTCCTGGATGGGGCCAGAACCCAGCCTGACCCTAGGGCAAAGGACCACAGGCATAGCAGAGACCCCAGGGATGGTGGCCGTGCACCCTCAGGGTGGACACAGGTCAGCTATGGGCCTCAGGGACCTGGCCTGGTGCTGGGCAGAGAGACTGGCACTCACCTGAGGTGATGGTGACCAAGGTGCCCTGGCCCCAGGAGTCCAAGATCCAGTAGCACAGCCTCTGCCCTCCAGCTATTTCCCTACAAAAACTCCCTTTTTCCCCTGTCCTCTGCCCCCCTTCCCTGACATCCAGTCCCCAAGGCTGAGGCCAGGTCCTTGGCCTGGTTCAGCACACCTGGCTCCCCGGGTCCACCTCAGATTAGCATCTGCCCTAGCCCTCCTAATAATATAGGTGCAGACAGCTGTGGGAGTCTGGGAGAGCAGAGGCAAGGGAGTGGTGGGAGCAGTGTTTTTGCAGAGCTGTCAATCACTGTGGTCCCAGGTATCACTGTGGTTTCCAGCTCAGCCAAAACCCCTGCTAGGAAGGCACTGAGCTTGCTTGCTCACTGCTGTGTTTCCCAGGGTGGTGGGCACAGGGCAGCCCTGGAGGGGGCCAGAGCTTGGTGATCCCAACACCATCCCCTAGGTTGCTGCTCAGTCTGGAGCCTGGCAGTGGCCGACTTCATTGTGCCCATTCACTGCTTCCGTCCCACAGAACAGGGTCTTGGTGGGCAGGGTGGGCTCACCAGCTCAGAGTCCCTGGCCTGCTTCACCATAAGCTCCCCCACAGAGCAGGTCTCTCAAGAGCCCATGAGCAGGTGGTTGCCCTCCTGAGCCCTCAGATCTGTTGGCCTGGAGGAGTAGTCCCAGCTCTGCCCTTGTTGGGCTCAGGGCAAGGGGTGCATGAGACATCCATGTAGAGCCTGGGGACCTGGGCTTCTTTGTGCCCTTTGTGGGGCTTGGTTAGAGTTTTTCTCTAGAAGGTTCCCTTTGTGCCCTGGGCTGGGGGCACCTGCGGGCAAGCCTGGAAGCAGAAAGAAGGTTAGGGGCTTCCATGGGTTGTGGATGGGATAGGGAGCCCCACAGGGTGAGTGGGGTCAGGGAGGGTCTCCAGAGTACGTGACAGGAGGTGAGTGGGTGGGACTCAGGAGGCTCCTGGTGGGGCTGAGGAGTCTCCAGGTAGAGCTGAAGATGCTCCTGGTAGGGCTGAGTGTGCTCTAGTTGGACTGAGGAGGCTCCTGGGGGGTGAGAAGGAGTCTGAGGGTTCTGGAGGGTGAGGGGTCCAGCCATCCCCCTCCTCATGTTGGAAGTCCTGCTCTGTGGGGGAGCTTTGGAGTACCTGCTGGGGCATTAGTGCTCAGGGATGCCTCCATCTGGCCCCTTTCTTAGGTTTCTCATCTCTGTGGTCGCAGCCCTGGGACCACCCATGTCCTTCCCCAGGAAGGAGGATGGGGGCAGTGCAGGCCCCACAGGAGGCACCTGCTCCCGCCCTGCCGCTGAGGTGGGGCGGCTGTTCCAGACCCTGTCCAACTCTTGCCTCAGGCCAACCTTCTTTTGCCCTTCCGAGGACCACTGGGCTGTGGAGGAGTCCACTCAGCTCTTGCAGGGCTCCACTCCGCTCCCTGGCTTTGTGTGGCCAGCCTGGCCTTTGCAGGGCTCTTGACCTCCTCACAGGGCTATTCTGGGTGGTGGGGCCCAGGATCTCACCCAGTGTGTGGCTAGCCTTGCAGTGCCCTGGACCAGCTCCTTCAGTAGCACCTGCAGCCAATGCACCACAAGCATGCCCAGGAAAGGTGTGATGTTATGGGCGCAGAGGCCGGCCTGGTGCGGTTGGGCATCAGGGTTCAGTCTCACAGACAAGGCTGGGCAAATGGCTCCCAGGTGTCCCGTGGGCTCCCTGGTGCTGTGTGGGCAGCTTGTGTTCATTTGTTCAAGCTGTCTTACGAGGTTCTAAGGTGACTTTCCATTTCTCTCCTGAGCGCTGCCCCACCTGCCTCTGAGGTTCCTCCCTGTATCTGTCTGTCTCTCCACTGTTCCCACGGACTCCTTCCACCATCAGTTTCCAGATGATGGGAAGAGGGGAGGGAGGAGAGCAGAGGCTCCTGAGGACCCCAGGGCATGGCTGGATACCCAAACTGAGCCAAGGAAGGTGGATGTTCTCTGGGGGCAGCCTGAGGATGGACAGAACTGGGAAGTGGAGAATCCCACTCCAGAGATGCGGCTGTGTGCACATTTTGCTTGCACCATGAGCAGACTTCCTGCCCACAAGTGGGGAACACTGCACTCAAGCCACGGCAGGTCCCCAGGGCACTGGCAGGAAGTTGATGCACTGTTCACCTGGGAGTTGTGGGAAGACGGGGTGTTGTGGTCTGTGGATCAATAGCCGAGCGCAGCTCCATTTTTCTACAAAGTGACCTTGGAAAGATTACTCACAGGCTTGGAGCCTCAAGTTCCCTCAAGTGTAAAATCATGAACAGTAGCATCTTCCTTTTGAGAGTCTTGTGGGCTAAAAGAGTTAGTGAGTGTGAAGGGCCTACTGCAGAATGCTCCAGGCAATACTGATAGCTCTCCTTCTTCTCTTCCTCCCTACAGGGACTGGAAGAATGGGATGGAAATCCAGGAGAATTATTTGTTCCTGGCACAGAGGTTGAAATGTTATCATAGAGAAAGTGTTGAATTTGCCTGGGATAAATTTAGCTTAAGGGTTTTCAGTTTTTCTCATTTTATGTGTAATATTCATGTTGCATAAAGTTGGATTTTGTTTTGGGATACAATTTGAAAATTTCTGCCTTTTAATAATCAAGTTACTACCACTCGCATTTATTGTTATGACAGGTCTGTTTGGTTTCAATCCTGTTTTACTGTTTTATATTATGTCATTAATTTTTATACTTCCAAACAAGTTTTCCATCTTATGTTATCTTTTGCTTTGCTGTTTTCTATGTGCGGTGCTTATCTTTGTGATTATAACTTTCCAAAATATCTCTCATACATTACTTCTTTAGACAACATGCTTCAGTTCTTTGCCTCACATAAGTGTGAAGTTAACTGGTTTCTTCTTCATTCCTCTGTCCTCTTCTCCCTACCATTATATGGTTAGTAATGTCAGTAATGCCGTTTTCTCAGGGTTTGTTTGTACTGTCTGATATCCTCAGTG